CCCCCCCCCCCCCCCCCGTCTTTTTCATCCCTATTGTGTCTATGTGCTGCCCTGCCCCATGTTACTCACCTTTCACCTGATATCCCTGTTGCATTATCAGGGAAGCAAGATAATTTGAAGTTGTTAGCCTTAGCTCCACCTAGGCTACCATGGCGTGATAGCTTCCTTCCAAACATTGACTGGATTTTACTTAGATGAATTGCCAATCTTTTATAGCAATGCAATCTCAGTTTTTCAAAATATGGATTTTGTATTGACCACTTTATTCAATGCTTTAGATGTCCAAATTTTGCCTAACTGCTTGATGTCTGTCAAAATTTGAATTTTATTGCTTTTGTTCTGGAGTTGTCTAGGCTTCTGTTTGCACTTGGGATTTTTTTCAATCATTGTTTATCTGCGCCTCATTTGTGCCTACCTTTACCCTGCCAGTAGCTTACAACAAATGGTTGGGCAAGCTTGCATGAGTCAGCAGGAAGTTAATGTTGTAATTGGATGTTGCTCAGGCTGGAGTTAGTACCTTCAGCTTTCCACTTTTGTCTGTGTGAGCGAGAGAGAATGGCAAGCAAGTGGCTTTCTTTTAAATAGATCCTCTGTTTTCTGTCTGCTCATTGTGCTGCGCAGTTATGCTCCAGGAAAGTGCAGGTGTAGAGTTGTACATATTACAGTAAGGAAAAATGGCAGTGGGTGAGTAAAGTCAATGAATGTCTTGAAGAGGTGCAGTTGAACCGAGATGCATTGAGTTTAAATTTCTTTAATGATAAGTATTGCTAGATGGAGCCATAAAATAAAGGGATAGTAACATTTTGGATTTGCTGAGTACAGTAATGAAGTATAGTGGGCTGTAGTAACCTTGTACCTTTAGTCAACAGCATTCTACTTAACGGATGGACTTCAACAGCACATACTGAAATTGGAATGATACAGAGAAGATTAGCATGGCCCCTGCGCAAGGATGACGTGAATTTGTGAAGTGTCCCTTTTTTTCGTGAGGAGCCTTCTTGTGGTGCAATAGTAGTGTCCCCACCCCTAAATTGGGAGGCCCAGGTTCAAGTCCCAACTGCTCCAGAGGTGTGAAATAACATATCTGAACAGGCTGATTAGAAAAGTAGGTCATTTTTTTTTTGAACTGGGATCATTGGCCCTCCTTCTATACCAACTGCTGGCTCATTCCAACACACCATCTGCAGCAAAATGTAGTGAGGAGATAAATGATGACCATGACACCAACTGGGTGGATGACTTCCTTTACAAAGATAATGGCCAGGGCAGAAAGATTGCAAGTGGCCAAAATGACCATTGTGCTCTGTACCAAAGATGTGCCACATCATAATCCATTTATTACAGTTGTTGGTTTATCAGTTCTAGATAAAATAGCAAGGGAAGGATTATCCCTTCAAGCCTGGGTAAGCAATCCACGTCAGAGAGGGAACTTCTGAGTCTGAACCTTCGGGTTAGAGACCTCACTACTGTCATCCCAGTTCACTGGACCATGACAGATGAACTCCAAGCTGAAAGGTTGAAGTTAGTCAGTGCAAACTGTCTTCAATGTTAAAGCTGTTTTGTGTAGGCAGGAAGGAGTAAAAAGAATTGCCCCAACTCCAGCACGTGTAAGTCCTGAAGTGATGGGAAAGTGTGAATTCTCCTGTATGCAAATTGCTCACAGCATTGAAGGTATTGATGATGACAACATAATTAGGTAGCACCCTAAGCGATACACTATCTTTTTGTAGGATAGCATTGCTTCCTCCTGAATCAGAGCGGAGCCTAGAAAATGTTGCCGAATCAAACACTACCCAATTGGTTCATCGTGGTCAACAATATCTCTCAATGTGACCAAACTGCAACCGAGAAGAAACTAGAACACTCAACTTTGCTCGTAAAGGTGGGAAAAGTTCTGCCTGCTGGTGTGAGAAAACAGTGCTTAAGTCTGGCAATGTTGCACAGCCCTGGTGATCTATGAACTAGCCAGACTAGACATTGGTTTGGGTGCCTTGATTGAGGTCTGATTCTTGGAACAGAAGAAAGAGTCATATTGAACTCGAAAGGTTAACTCTGATTTTCTTTCCACAGATGCTACCAGATGTACTGAGTTTCTCCAGCATTGTTTCCAGTTTTCTAGCATTTGCAGTACTTTGCCTTTTTTCAAACCTGCCAGTTGGCATTTCCAAGTACATCATGTCTCTGGCCCACCGTGCCTCAAGTTCAGCAGCATGCAAATCTCATCAGCACTTGAGCTCTGACTCTGAACCCTAACTCAGCTGACAAGGCTACGTTCTACACAGGTATCTGAACTCCCGCAAAATTGTCGTCCTCGCCCATTTCAACGCCAGACTTGGCTGTGACAATCTGGTAATGAAAAGGAATGCTTGAAAACCATGGAGTTGTAATCGACAGTATTTTTAAAAAAGTGTCTGCTCTTGAACTCTGTTACAAAAGACACATTTTCAACTTCAAGACGCATGGATGCGTTCTTGCTGATAGCACTGGTGCCTGACGGACTACATCTTGTTGCGCTAATATGATGTGCATACTCGGTCCTGGCTACGACACAGACCAGCTTGTTTGCTCAAAGCTAAACTTCCATTTGAAGCTGAAGAGAAATAAACCAACCAATGGCTGTCATTTTTTTTTTAATCATTTGGGTTCACGGTGTGATCTGACATGCAGTGGAAGCCAGATAAGTTTATACACAGAGCTTTCTTTCTTTATAGACAGAGCAGTACATAGTGCTAAAGCGAAACAAAGAAATGGAGATGTGAACAAACAGAAATTACTTGAGAAGCTCATTGGGTCTGGCAGTATCTGTGGGCAGAGACATTTCTGAAGAAGAGTCACAGGATTCCAAATGTTAACTGTGCTTTCCTCCCCAGATGCTGCCAAACCTGCTAAATTCCTCCAACAATTTCTGTTTTTGGTACACACAGCATGTCTGTTTCAACTCAACAAAATTGATAGCCATGTGCTTGTTCATTTTTCAGGGAATGACCAATCAGTCATCCTGCTTGGTTTAAAATTTTCAAAAAGCTGAGCTCTTAACTGTCAATCAGCATTAATAGATGCATTCTCTACAGCAATACCTTTACCAATCCAAGTCCACTTGCCAACCAATCAACTTTCTCCTCTCATACAGTATAAATGTTGATTTTTTTTTTCCCCCTCGAATTGGGTATTCTTTTGAAATGTCCTGATAATTACAAGACAAAAATCTTTAACAAAATATGTGCTTCTCAGCAATACTGAATCTGTAAATGGTTTGAAATTGAGGATTAATTAGACTTACTGTGCTGTATTGTCTCTGTTTAAGGGAGAGATAAAATAGGAACTGTTGCATAACTGCAATGAAGAAGAGCAAAATGAGGTTTATGGTGCAGTTATCATTATTTTTGAACCCGTTTGGACATCGTGACACAACTCTGAAGCAATGGGATTTGAACCAGCTACAGTTAAATTGCCATGTTTTCAAGCTGAGTTTTAAGTCTAAATCGTTAAGACACACAACAAAAAGCAAGGGGTCTACTATTGAACCTTGTGCAACCTACTGCAAGTAGCCTTCTAGCCACAGACTTAGACTGTTCTGCTCCCTGCATGTGAGCCTACTTGGGACAATGTTCTGTTTCGCCTGGTATACCAAGTTTCATGACCAGTTTCATATGTAATCATATCAAAAGTTTGCCATAATCCATATGGACTATATTACGTGCACTATTCTCATTTCTGTCCTTGTTACACCTCATTGTTTGATTGTCAGTCAAACTCAAACTTTCCTTAACCTGTCTTCCTAAATGCGCGTGCAAACAAAGAGACCTAGGGGTGCAGGTGTATATTTACTTGAAGGTGGAGTTGCAGGTAGACATGGTGGTGAAGAAGGCATTTAGCATGCTTGCCTTCAGTGGTCAGTGCATTGAGTAAAGGAGTTGGGAGCTCGTGTTGCAGCTGTGCAGGATATTGGTGAGGCCACTTTAAGAATGCTGCATGCAATTCTGGTCTCCCTGCTGTAGGAAAGATGTTAAACTTGAAAGGGTTCAGAAGAGATTTACAAGTTTGTTGCCAGGATTGGAGGGTTTGAGCTTTAGGGAGAGGCTGAATAGGCTAAGGCTTTTTTTCCTGGAGTGTCAGAAGCTGAGGGGGTGACCTCTATAGAGGTTTATAAAATCATAATGAGTGTGGATAGGGTGAATAGCTAAGGTCTTTTCCCCAGGAAACGGGAGTCTGAAGCTAGAGGGCATAAGTTTAAGGTGAGAGCGGAAAGATTTAAAAGGAGCCTAAGGGGCAACTTTCTCCACGTAGAGGGTGGTGCATGTATGGAATGAGCTGCCAGAGGTGGAGGCGGGTACAATTACAACATTTAAGAGGCATCTGGATGGGTATATGATTAGGAGTTCAGAGTTCAGAGGTAAATAGGCCAAATGCTGGTAAATGGGACTAGATCAGTTTAGGACAAGTTGGACCGAAGGGTCTGTTTCTGGGCTATATAACTCTGACTGTTTTTATCCTGTCCCTCAGAATTTTTGCCAATAATTTTTGCACCTCTTGAGTTTAGCCTCAACAACAACAAAAACAGAAGTTGCTGGAAAAGCTCAGCAGGTCTGACGGCCTCATAAGGGTCATTCTGTTTCTCCCTTTTTAAGCAAAGTTGTAATGTTTGAGGTCAATCCTTCAATACCACACCTGAAGCTAGTGAGAATTGCAAAACTAGTGGTCAGAGTCTCCACTATTTCTCCTCTTCCTTCCCTTAACAGTCTAGAATACATTTCATTCAGGTCTGGGGATTTCTTCACTTTCAAAGCTATTAAACTGTCTTTACTTAATGAGCAAAATACCTGCATTGAGTCCTTCAGGATCAGGATGCAATGACACAATGGATTAACAATGATGTCAGTTAGTTACAATGAATATGAACACCTGCCAAAGCTTTGAAGAACTTGCTCAGACATATTCAGCAGTTGTATTATCATTTCTAGACTGAAGAATAGTTTCAGTTCTGTCAATTGCTGCATGGATTCATCTTCTGTCTTCAGCCAAAGTATGACTATGAAATGGTGTGTGGGTGTGTGAGCAACAATTATCTTAGATACCGTGTAACTTCATAGCAGTGGTATTAAATTTCTACAGAAATGTTTTGGGGGCATCTCCAATAATTCACTGGGTAAATTAATAGCCCATTAGGAACTAAGCAACATAGACCAGAAATATTCACGTTTCCATTCTCTTATATTATTAGTTGATCACCAAGTACAATTCTGGTGTCATTCTGATGAATCTTTGCGAAACAAAATAGTGGCATCAGTCTTCCCCAAGCAGTCACTTGTAATGGATGTGGAGATGGTCACGTTGAAAACAAAAAAATAGATTTAGAGGCAGGAGTGGGATATTTTGATATGCTATTTAATAATGTCATCAAATTCAACATTAAATAAGGATGTCTATAATTGGCTTTAATCATAATTTGATAATATAGATTAGTAAGCAATTAACTATAAGATTGATATTAAATCACAAAGCTGGAATATTTAACCACATTCTTTTTTTCTCAAATCCTATCCTACTGTTAAAATCAGAATGCTATAGTGAATATTTACCATCAGCTCAGGGGGGAGATTATCTTGGGCAGGAGAGCTCTAATAATTTCCATGAACCAAGTGCTGAGTCACTGCAATGTTTCAGTCAAATCAGTCGTGATTCCTTTCCTACCACTTCTATCAATTTGTTCACCACCTGAAGGCAAAGATGCTAGTGGAAGTAAGATTGTTTCCTTCTGTAAGCGCACAGTTAGAAAAATTAGTGTTGCGGGTATTCTTTATCAGTATTTTTAGCAATAATTGTGTTGCAGGCAGTATTTTTGCGTTTTGTTGTTTTGTATATTAATGAGCAAAAAATTTATAATCATATTTTGCTTTATTTTGTGATGTTTCAATGTCACAGAAAAAAATTACTCCTCTCTGCTGAAGTCAAAGTAGACAAAAAGAGTAAAGCAAGCATATTTGAACATGCAGTCAGCTTGTTGGTAAACATTGTGCTGCTTTTCATCATTTATTGTTATTAAGTAAAGTTGCCATAGTCCCAAAGGTCTATAGAACTGCTCTCTTATTAGAGAGAGAGAACTGGTGGTGGTTTAAGTGTGTCAGGTGAGGGGAGAGGTTGAGAAAGAGAATCTTTCATAGTAATCTCAACCAGTGCAAGAATTGAACCCATGCAGTTGGTGTCGTTTTGCATTACAAGCCAGCTAACTGACACCCAAGTATAACGTTTATATATTCATGATATTAAATAAAATAGTCTTCTGATACGACAAAACAAAGCTCTTAAAAATGGATTTCATGTCAGTGATTCTAAAGCTGTGAGAAAATTTTAATATGATAGAAAATATTGTCTGCAAGACCTTAAGTTGCTGCAGTGGATCATGGATGGTGGATTAGATACACATTTATGAAAATACTTTTCTGTAACATGTGGCAATTTAATTTTCATTTCTTTCATTGTTTCATTAAAGTCCACTGAAGGCACATTGCTGTGCACATTGCAGGTTATAAGCGATCCTGGAATATTTACTTTGTCACTAGACATCACTAGTCAATTTGTACATTTACCACCAGAGTTAGAGTTTAAAAGAAAGTACAAAGAACTATACTCTTTCCTAGCCTGTCCAAGTCCTTCGACAGTCTGCCCACCTCTTCACTACCTGTCCCTCCCACCTATCTTTGTCATTTGCAGACTTAGCAGCGATTCCGTCAGTGCCTTCATCCAGATTGTTAATGCTTGAGTACAAAAATAGACTGAAACAACAACTGGATGCTGCTGACGCCTTCATTGTGTGGCTGGTAGGAAGCTGACGCACACTGCACCTGTAGAATCATGTATGGCGCTGCTGATCTCATTGTTGTGCACGAACTGAACCCACTCCATTCACTTGCTCACCCTGATGGCTCATTCACTGCTACCCCACTCTGAACCTCTCATCGCCTCCCTCTGCTTGGCACCTTTCTCTCTTGCTCTCAATTGGTATACAGTGAGGGAGTGGGGTGGTGGACAGTTGGAAAACACTGAGGGGTCTGAACCAGATGATCAGTAAGACTGTGAGCAAAGTAGCAACTGGAGAGATGATGCCGTTATATTTAACCCGAGCTTTGGTGTTCATTATTCTCTGAAAATTGCAATCTTTAAATTGAAATTTATTAAGCAGGCAAAGTAATACCTCAACATTTAAAGACTTTGCACGTCTAAGAAACATGAAAAAGAACACTTTATTGGTACTGCACTTGTTAAAGTATCTCTGAATTGCTAATATTACAGATGGTCTTATTTTTTTGCAGGCTCTCTTCAGCACCACTGGCAGTGACGTCACAGACACTGTGACTCCATGTGAGGGTGCGTGTGCCCCTGCATTTGCATTGTCAGCAAACGTAGCTTTACGTTGTTTCAGCTGTTACAATATACTTGCCTCTGAATCAGAAGATTCTGGGTTCAAGTCCCACTCTAGAGTTTGAGCACAAAAATCAAGTCTGACATTCCAGTGTAGTACTTCCTCAGCACTGCACATTGTTGATGCCATCTTGCAAAAAGGACATTGCATAGTGGCCCCAACAGTCTGCTCCAGTGGGTGTAAATGATGCCGTGGCAGTATTTCACAAGAGCAGTGATTTAACCCTGGTGTTCCAATCAATATAACTCCTTCAATTAACTTCACACAAAACAGGTTATCTAATGATTATCAGATTGCTGTTTGTGGGAAATTGTTGAGTGCACATTTGCTTTTAATTTCCTCTTTCTTAGCATGTGGGCATTTTTGGCAAGGCCAGTATTTAGGAACAAATTACTGCAGATGCTGGAGATCACAGCAGGTCAGACAGCATATAGAGAGAGACCACGTTTCAAGTCTCTTGACTCTTCAATAGAGCTGATGTGAAGTGTGGAGGGGGACAGCATTTATGCTGTAGTTTGGGGGAGGTAGGTGGAGGGGTAGTGGGTGTAGGGTGCTGTTCCAGTTACTGTCCTTTCAAGTCTGGCAGGAGACACACCATTGTTCTGCCATTCTCACATTCTGATCACTTAATCCGAACTATTAACATCTTTCCTCCACCAGCACCCTATACCCCCCCCACCCCCAAACTGTAGCATAAATGTCGCCTCCACACTTCAGCTCTGATGAAGAGTCATCTAGACTCTGAACGTTAGCTTGCTGTCTTTCCATGGATGCTATCTGACCCACTGTGATCTCCAGCATTTGTTGTTTTCAAGGCCAGAATTTGTTATCTACCTCTAATTGCCCTTGAACTTGAAGGGTTTGCTAGCCATTTAGGAGGGCAGTTAAGAGAATCAACAACATCACTGTGAAGGACGGCAGATTTCCTTCTTTCAAGATTTAGTGAACCAGATGGGTTCTTGCACCATTGATGTTCACCTTCATAAGAAAAAAAATTAATTCCAGATTCTATTAATTGAATTTAAATTCCACCAGTTGCCATGGTACTATTTGAATTTGTGTCCCTCGAACATTAGCCTGAATTTCTGGATTTTAGTTCACTGACATTACCACTGTGCCACTGTCTCCCCTTGATTGTGTTTACTATCTTAGTACAGAGGTTACACTTCTGAAAATGCTCCTTCAACTGTAAGTGCTTTGAGATGCTTAGTGTATTGTAAAAAGCCCTCATAATTTTTTTCTGATCTCAACATATATTTATAACAATTGTTTAAGTTATCTGTGTCCGTGTATTATTGAAATCTCAAGCAATTTGTCAAAGCACTTCCTTTTTTTAGTTCTTAATCATATTTGATAGGGAGCCTGTCTCTTGCTGTTGACTTTATTCCTACCTTAACTTACTCTTTCTCTTACAGCTGTGGCATGGCAGTGAACGTGTATTCCACCTCTGTAACAAGTGAAAATCTGAGCCGACATGACATGCTATCATGGGTCAATGACTCCTTGCAGCTCAATTACACCAAGATTGAGCAACTATGCTCAGGTACTAAGATGGAGATGTATTTTTTTTAGAGAAGTAATATGTCTCAGATCGATTTTCAGTTCTGATGCTTTGGTCATTTGTGGGCATTGAAAATAAAATTAATCCTTAAAGTACTTGATATTATACTTCTGTTATTTCAGATTCTTGAATATGAACTAAGTTGCATTTATTTTCTCTTGTTTACTTATTTCAATATTACTGTCTGTTTCACTTATAAATGAGGAGGAGCGAGAAAATGAAGTGAATATATGTCATACAGTGGATTCACAGTATTTTCTTCTGTCAAAACTGAGTTTGTCATACCTTGTTGCTTCTGCTTGTGGGACACCAAGTGCTAAAATAATTGAATTTTCAAGTCTGAATCCACTTTCTAAGCAGCACAAATCACAACAAATTTCCGATAAATTGTTAATAGACAACACAAGTGAGATAGTGATGACCGTTCTGTGTTTATGTATGAAGAATTTTATTGAGGAAAAATTAAGAACTTCTTTCAGGGCCTCTTTATCTCCCACTGCCATATGATGAGACAAGAATGGTGTACAGGATTTTAGATGAGGACCTGATGAAGGTCTTGTATGCAAATACCAGTACCTGTGTTTCATATTGAATTATCTTACCTTTATATACTTTCATTACAGCCTGTCAAACGTCGATCTTGCGTGATTTGTGCATAGAACACCTGGATATTTTTTCTCGTTCGATGCATTATCATCTGCAGTCCAGAAATCTGAAGTCCAGAGATAATTGCATTCTGAAAGCTTTTTTGACCAAACTCAAATAATGCATTGTCTTGCCACTTGACTGTTAGGGCATTGCAGCAAATTGACAACATAGGAACATAAGTGCAAGAGTATGCAGTTTGATTCCTCGACCCTCCTCTGCCAATCTAGATCTTGGCTGATCATCTACCTTTGCTGTTTGACCCCATTATTCCCTTGATGTTATCTGTGTTTCAGTCAACCTAGAGCATACTCAGCAACTGAGCTTCTACAGCACTCTTAGGTATATTTCAAAGATTCACTACCCTCTGAATGAAGAAATATCCCCTTATCTTGGTACTAAATGGCCTGCCCCTTTAACCTGACACCCCCTCCCCAGCTCGGACCTCTCAGCCAGCTGGACCTTGTTCAGGAATTCTATACGTTGCAGTGAGATCACTTCTCATTCTTCTAATCCTTCGAGAATGAGATCCAGTCTTCTCATAGGACAAAGCCAGCATCCCTATTGAAACTTTCTCCATTCTCTCCATGGAAAGTATATTCTTGCTTATGTGAAAAGGACCATAACTGCAAACAATATTCCATGTGCAGTTTCACTAAAATTGTATATGATTGAAGCAAAACATCTATGGTCCTATATTTAGATTTTTTTGTGATTTAAAAACTGACACAACACTTGCTTTCCAAACTTCTTGCTGCACCGCTGTGTTAGCTTTTACTGGCTTGTGAACAAAGACACACAATTTCTTTTCGGGCATTAACACTTCCAATCTCTCCTCATTTTAGAAATATTGCGCATTTTTTTTCCTCCTGCCAAAGTGGTCAATCTTTCAGTTATCCACATTTTACTGCTTCTAACATGTTCTTGCCCACACAACCAGCCTTTCCAAAGGCCTTCTGTATCATTCTGACAATACACGTTCCACTTGGTGATCTGCAAACTTAAAAATATTATATTTGGTCACTACAGCTGAATGATATGTATAGATTATGAACACCTGGGGCTGAAGCACTGATCCTTGTTGCACCCCGACTAGTCAGAGTTTGCCAACCTGACAATGACCCATTTAATCTTAATTTCTCTTTTCTGCCATTAACCCATCCTCCATCTTGAACATTATCCCCTATCCCAGATTTTCTAATTTTGTTTGGAAACCTGTGTAGGATATTATCGAAAGTCTTCTGAAATTCTAGATCGATGATATCAGTGGTTCCATAGATACATTGAGTGAGCGGGCAAAGGTCTGGCAGATGGAATACAATGTAAATAAATGTAAAGTCACAGAGTTTGGTAGGAGTAATAGTAAAAAGGATTATTACCTGAATGGTAAAAAGTTGCAGCATGCTGCTATGCAGAGGGACCTGGGTGTCCTTGTGCATGAATCACAGAAGGTAGGTCTGCAGGTACAATAAGTAATTAGGAAGGCAAATGGAATTTTGTCCTTCATTGCTAAAGGGATTGAGATTAAAAGCAGAGAGGTCATGTTGCAGCTGTACAAGGTGCTGGTGAGGCCACACCTGGAGTACTGTGTGCAGTTTTGGTCTCCTTACCTGAGAAGGGATGTAGTGGCACTGGAGAGGGTGCAAAGGAGGTTCACTAGGTTGATTCCGGCGTTGAGGGGGTTGGTTTATGAGGAGAGACTGAGTAGATTGGGATTATATTCATTGGAATTCAGAAGATTGAGGGGGGATCTTATAGAAAGATATAAAATTATGAAGGGAATAGATAAAATAGAAGTAGAGAGGATGTTTCCACTGGCAGGTGAAGCTAGGACAAGAGGGCATAGCCTCAAAATTAGAGGGAGCAGATTTAGGACTGAATTGAGAAGGAACTTCTTCACCCAGAGGGTTGTTAATCTACGGAATTCCTTGCCCAGTGAAGTAGTTGACGCTACTTCAGTAAACATTTTTAAAGATAAGGTAGATTTTTTTTGAACAATAAAGGAATTAAGGGATACGGTGAGAACGCGGGTAAGTGGATCTGAGTCCACAAAAAGATCAGCCATGATCTTATTGAATGGCAGAGCAGGCTCGAAGGGCCGGACGGCCTACGCCTGCTACTAGTTCTTATATCTATGCTACTGGTGACATCTCAAAAAACTCAACAGGTTTGTCAAACGTAATTTCCCCTTTAATAAATCTGTATTGATTCTGCCCAATCCTACCTTTTCCTTTAATACTGATGTTAGGCTAATAGGTCTGTAACTCTCTAACTCCTTTCTTAAGAAGTGGGGTTTCATTTGCAACCTTTCAAATTGTCGACAGTATTCCATCAATCCATCCACCATCTCTATAGCCAGCTCTTCAGCACTCTGAGATATAAGTCATTGGGTGTTGTGGAATTTGTCAACTTCAGTCCTATCAATTTCTCCAATGTTACTTTTTCCTGTTTTACTGATACTGTTTTCTTTCAGTTTCTTGCTTGATCCTTGAATCTCTGGTATTTCTGAGAGATACCTTGTAGTTGTTTCTGTGAAGCCAGGCACACTGTAATTATTTATCTGGGCCCCCATTATATCTGTAGTGTTTACCAGTTCGCATTTGTTGTTAGGCATTCTAACATCATTCCCTAATGCAGAAAATTCTGAAATAGGTGAGTGGCTTGGTCCCAAGAATATCAATCTGGGATGATGTTATGTACTGTAATTCAGGATCAAGCATGGCATCCATATCCTTGACCTTTAGCTGTACACATTTTTTTCCGATGATTGCAAGCAGATTCCTTTCTTGACTATCCAATTTGTTTGTGTCAGTATTTGTGAATATTTGTCATCTTTAATGACCTGTGAAATTGCAAACCTGGATCATCATCATCTATTTAATCAAATGCTTCGATGAGAACCTGGTTGTTTTGGGGACTGGATTCAACTCTGATTTAAACTGTTGGGTTGAAACACATTTGTTTCCGGTAGGAAATGTGTTTAAAATAATTTATTTTGAACAAACTAAATGCACTTCACATTCAACGTATACATCAGAAACAGACGTTCGGCTCAAATACTTACGTGCTGCAAAAGTCAAATTAGAATATGTGGGCATCAATCACTGTATTAAGGTGAGGGCAACAGATGCACGAGACCACCTTCAGCTTTAAGTTCCCCTTCAAGCCACACATCATCCTGGCGTGGTGGTATGTCGCCATTCCTTGATTGTTGGCTCAAAATCCCAGATTTCAAATTCCTGGCAACAGTGTGGATGTGGATGTGCCTGTGCCCCATGGACTGCAATAGTTCAAGAAGGCAGCTCACGACCACCTTCTCAAGGACTAATTATTCTGACCTAGCTTGTCATGTTTGTGTCTCTGAAAGATTTTTTTTAAAAGCTGCCTTGCAAGCTAACCATGTACCTTTTTATTTGAGCTAATCCTCTGCGTAAAGCTCAACATCTTGGGCATGAACAACAGCACAAAAATCCTCTAATTTTAAATTTATCCCAATTCAAGAGGTACTTTGATGAGATGTCCTGGTACACATGAGATCTCCTTATTTAATTGTATTTTACGCGATTTCAAAATTCTTGGTACTCATCCATCTTAGAGGACAAGAGATTAATGTTCCATCATCTAGTAACACAGAGAATGGGAGCACGAGAAGACCATTTGGCCCTTCAAGCCTGCTCTGCCATTCAATATGATCATGGCTTAACATCCTACTCAGTACTCTATTTCCCACTTTCACCCCAAGCCTGTTGTTCACCTTACTGTAAGAACTATATCTAACTCCTTGAAAACATTCAATGTTTTGATCTCAACTGCTTTCTCTGGCAGAGAATTTCACAGGCTCACCACTGTCTGGGTGAAGAAATTTCTACTTACCTCAGTCCTTAACGGCCTACTTCGTCTCCTTAGACTGAGAGCCCTTGTTCTGGACTCCCCAGTCATTGAGAACATCCTTCCATACATTTGCCCAGTCTAGTCCTGTTAGATATTTTGCAGGAGTCTATGAGATCCTCCCCACCCCCACCTCATTCTTCTAAACTCCAGTGAATATTGTCTTAAGTGATCCAGTCTGTTTTCATATATCAATTCTGCCAGCCCAGGAATCAATCTGCGAAAGCTATGTTGCACTCCCATAGCCACAACATTCTTCTTCAAATAAGAAGACCAAAACTGTGCACAATACTCATCAAAGCTCTGTAAAATTGGAGCAAGATATTCCTTGCTCAAATCCTCTCATTGTAAAGGCCAAAATATCACTTGCCACCTTCACCGCCTGCTGCACCTGTATGTTTACTTTCAGTGGCAGGTATACAAGGACACAGGTCTCATCGCACCTCCTGCATTCCCAATCTGTTACCATTCAGACAATCTGCCTTTCTGTTTTTACTACCTAAATAAAGAATTTCACATTTAACCACATTGTACTTCGGGTACCATGCATTTGCTCAAATATTCAACTTTTCAAAATCACACTGAAGCATCTCTACGTTCTTGGAGCTTATCTCTTACCCAGTTTTGTGCCATCTGAAAAATTTGAGATATTACACTTAGTTCCTGCATCTAAATCATTAATATATATTGTGAATAGCTGGGGTATAATCGCTGATTTCTGTGGTACTCCAGTGGTCACTGGCTGCCCCTCAGGAAATAATCAGTTTATTCCTACTTTGTGTTTCCTGTCTGCTGGCCAGTTCTGTCCCCATGTCAATACACTATCCCCAATCCCACGTGCTTTAAATTTATGTGTTATTCTCTCATGGGAACTTATCGAATGCTGAAGGAATTCTTAAAGAATAAAAATTGTTGATCCATGAGATATTGACAGTGTATTTGGAAATCGTTTGGTGGTCTTTGTCTAACCAGGCAATAGTGCAAGGCAAAGAATGTCATCATCATTTTGGTCATTGCTAATTGAAAATATCGTTTGCTATCCTACATTTCATCACAGAAAGTGGTGGAGGCAGGATTGTTGAACACTTTTAAGGCTGAGGCTATTGGGATTAGATGGAAATGTGATATTCGAAACAGAGACAGATCAGTCAGCTCTTTGGAACATAGGACCAGGAGCAGGCCATTCAGCCCCTCGAGCCTGTTTCACCATTTGGTGAGATCACGGCTGAACTGTGAATTAACTCCATATACCTGCCTTTGGCCCATTTTCATTGGTAAATTTTTGTTAAGCAAAGGTATCAATCAGATTTATTTATCTCAGATTTTACAGAGTGGCAGAGCAGGCTTGAGGTGCTGAATGGCTTAATTCTCCCAATTTCTACATGTTTGTGTATAACTTACAGGTGTTTTAATGTTGTAATATTACTGAAAGGAAAGTCAATCTTCCAACTTTCTTACATAGTTCTCTTTGTGCCAATGGCATTCCAAAGAAGATCAAAATATCTGCAGTACAGATTCTTTTGCAATGTTGTGGAACCTTCCAAGACTATTTTCATGCTAGACTGCATGTAATAGGGGAAATAACTTAATTTATCTTCCTCACTTGATACAGTTTTTGGCTTCTGGTTGTTTCAAAGCATCATTATTGGTAATTTTCAGTTATATTCACGATAATCTGTGATTGTTAAATGTTTTTTTCCAAACTAATTCTTGCTAAAACATTTTTCTTCAACAGGAACAGCATACTGTCAGTTTATGGATATGCTCTTTCCTGGCTGTATTCTTCTAAAGAAAGTCAAATTTCAAGCAAAGTTGGAGCATGAGTACATCCAACATTTTAAAATTCTCCAGGCAGCCTTCAAGAAAATGAATGTTGATAAAGTATGTATGCAAATTTTGACAAAGGACTACTTTTCTATTCAGGGGACTGTTCAATTTGCTAAGTCTTTTTTTCCCATATACCTGTTGCCAGTGTAGTCCCTTAGGCTGTCACCTGTACATAGCCTTTTTTAGCCGGGTACCCTGTACAGGAAGAATTTACTGCAGACATAAATCATTTTTAAGGTTTTCTGTAAAGTGATCCATTGTACTTATTTTCTGTTGATTCTGTATTAAATTTAAGATATTTCAACAATGCAACAATCATGAACAATAGAAAGTGTTTCTAAGCATAAGTTTATATCTAATATTTTCAGCAAAAAGAAAGGCGCTGCAAATTTGAAACAAAAATGTTTGAATTCAGTAGCTCGGGCAAATCTGTGGAGAAATCAAAAAGATTGATATTTCAGCTATAATCCTTCCATCATAATTGGGGGTAATATTATAGTTAAGGTTTATCAGTGATATATGTAGATAATGGAATGACAATAAAAATATAAGTGAAGCAGAGCTGATTGCACTGACCCAAGAATCCAGAAGTAGTAAATAAGTCTTAAGCTGAGGGCATTCCATTCTGGCAGGTGGCATGTATCCAGGTTTTGTTTTGGAGTTTTTGTTAATTTTGTTATGCATTAATTTCTGACAGCCTTATCCCCATTTCCCTCCTGTATTTGCACATTTTGAATATTATAATCATCTTTGACTTAACTCATGCTAAATTCATTTCAATTATTTAAGTATTTTCTGTTTTCCAGTTGAATATAGAAATTTTTCTACTTCAGGTTGATATCTTGCCCCATCCTTCTGAGAGTGGTGAACTTGTGGAACTCCCTACCACAGGAAGTGATTGAGGCCAAAACATTCAATGTTTTCAAGAAGGATTTAGACAGAATTCTTACACCTAAGGAGTCAAAGAGTATGGGGTGAAATTGGGAACATGGTACTGAGTTGGATGATCACCATGATTTTATTGAATGGTGGAGCAGGCTCGAAGAAATGGATGGTGTATTCTTCTTATTTCCTATGTTTCTTCTAATTTGTTCCTTTTAAATGTTGTTCATATTTTATATGATATCGTAATATATTCCTGCTCTGATGAAATATCTGCATATGAAATGTCTCTCCTTAGATACTACCTCTTCTTCTGAGAAGAAACAGTATTTCCTGATTTTCACAATTCTTATAAACCATATGACTATACATAATAGGAGTAGGAATAGGCTATTCAATCCATTGAGCCTATTTCACCATTCAGTGAGATCATGGCTGCTCTACATTCATGCCTACCCTGGTAACCTTCCACTTGTTTGCCTACCAAGAATCTGTATACCTCCGCCTTAGAAATATTCAAGGATCTGTTCCCACCACTCTTTTAAGGAAGAGAACCTCATCTACCCTGTCATATCCCCTCAGGATCTTGTATGTTTCAGTCAAATCGCATCTTAATTTTAAACTTGAGCAAATACAAGCCTAGCTTGCCCAATCTTTCATTATAAGACAACCGTTTCGTTCCAGATGTTCCTCTGTTAAACCTACTCTGAGCTGATTCCAATATATTTATATCCATGCTGAAACATGGACACCAATACTGTGTGCGTTAAGATAAGACATAGGAGCAGAAGTAGGCCATTCAGCCCATTGAATCTTCTCTGCCATTCAATGAAATCATGGCTGAGCTAAAAATCCTCAACTCCACTTTCCTGCCATTTTCCCCATAATTCTTGACTGCTTTATTACTTAAAAATCTGTCTGTCTCAGCCTTGAATATAGTTAATAAACCAGCCTCCACAGCTCTCTCTGGTAAAGAGTTCCACAATTCACATGCTTACATGGCAAAATTTATTTTTATTCTATGTATGCAATATCACGCCAAGCATTCAAAGCTACGTTTCCAATTCCAATTTCTGGTATTGCGAGCAGATTAAATTTAAGTCCCATTTGACTGTGTTTGGCCCATATTCCTCTAAACCTTTCCTATTCATTTGCTTTTTTAAATGTTGTTGACAGGAGTACTCCTTGTAATTGATGGAATTAATTCTCTTGCAGAGGTACATTTTTCAGTGTAATGATATCATTGACCATAAACATTTTCAGGTCATAATGATTGTACTGACAAAACCATAGTACAATAAACTCCATGGTATCCAGTACCTACAGGAGTGGGGAGTGCCGGTTATGTGAATGTACCGGTTGCAGTCAGGCCTGCTCATAAATACCATCGGTGAGGTTTGATTTAAAATGGGAGGGAGGGAATGAAAGTTCCCAGAGCAACAAAACCTACTTCAGTGGATGACCGGTTGCATGAGAATTCTGGAAAATGTGGACTTTACTGTATTATATTTTATTTTTCTGCTTGATGAAATGGAAATAAGTGAGAGGAAATTCCAACTCTCAACCTATGGCGATACGTTTTTCGAGGATTTTATAAATAAGGAATCAAAATTGCATTTCAGGTCATAATGTTATCAACTTCAGGGCTTCTGTATTGTCATTCATCTGGTAAGGAGGTGCTTGATATTAGATAAATCATTTTCTCTAATCACTTTAGATTTTATATCAACCAGAAGGATAAAAAAGAAACAGTCTTTTTTTTCCTAATAGTCCTGAAAGTTTCTGCTTGCATGATTTATGATGGAATAATACTAAATGTGTATTTACATATATAAAGTACAGATGATGTTGGACTACTGACCAAGTTATCTGATCTGAAATTAGGAACTTTGATATAGCAAAGCTCATACTTTGAGGTTTGGCATCATGAATTATGCCTAAAAAAAGAAAAGTTAGTGTTCATTTTTCTGATATCATACATACTCCATGTACAGATGAATCAGGTCTGCTACCAAGCAAATAAATCACAGGACTCCTTTGTGTTTTCCGCCAGGTACTAGATGGTGTCCCTTACCTCTTTGGTTTCTTTACACTTTAAATTCTTGTTCCCTCCTGTTTTTCACTCTATATAACAAAATCATACTAGTGTCTTTCCCTCAGTCACAAGTATTGAACAATTAAATCTTTTTTTAAGTTTGTGTTAAAATATTGGAGTTTCAGCTTTCCCATTTACTAGTTCATTTGAATTTGATATTTTTATCATCAGTTATTTCGAACAACATGTTCACTGTCTTTCACCAGTGTGAAGTATCTTGAAAGAAGCTTGACAGTTCTTTGTCAAGAAACATTTGTTAAGAAAATCTGACTCACTGGAAAGAAAGATTTCTGGACCAAAGGATGATTTCTGCTTTGAGTGAAATGTTGAAGTGCCAGTTCCAGATTATACAAAGTACATTTGGTTATTACTCTAGCGCAGAGGAGCACTATCCGCTGTCACCAATAACATACAGTTTAGTCAGTGCTGAGACAGATATTGTCTATCTAATGCTATTGAATTTTGGAAACCAATGTTGAAAGTGTTCTGTGCAATCTTTGAATGAAAATCTGCCTCCTGTTAAGACTTTTAAAAATATTTTCCTTGATTTGAGCAAGTTTCAACAAGTTACCACCAGATGTAGAATGGATTGACCTGGTTGTTTAATCCCAGCTATGGTTTGGGCTGTTGCTAAATCATTGGTATTCTTGATGCCTACATGCAATCTTACTAGTAGCTAATGTTGCTTTGTCAAAATTTAAATTTAAAGACTTGTGTATGTTGCGGCTGAATACTTTGGAACTATTTTTAATTTGGTGAATTAGAAGATTCTTGTGTCAGGAAATTTTATTTGAGTTTAATCTTTACACCATTTTATCTATTCTGAATTCTACAGTAAGCCATTATCAATTTTGTGCTTTCTCATTTCTGAAGAACAGAAGATGTATTTTCTGCCATTTTGTAGATTGTCAAGGCTTGGAATGGACAGGCTCGGATTATTTCCATGAGTGTAAATCCACCGAAACCGTTTGTCTCTGGTGTTCCTTTGTATAGGTAAAGAATGAACAATCCCTCCTGAATATGAAGCTTACAAGTAATATGCAGCTTATAAATACAGGTGGCTACTCAAATATGTGAAGTGATAAAGTTCTTGCAAGTTCGTTACAGGTATTGAGCATCTGAGGAGAGAATCAAGTTACGTACTAAACAGATTAGGTGCCAGTTCGGTCTCTCTTTAGAGACGCTCTACATGTTTGATATTTGTGCTTCTGGCCTTTTCAGTGTATAGAAAGTTTCTGCGGATTTTATGGGTAGGGTCAAGGATACTCTCCCAGATGGATTTGCTATCTGAAAGCAGTCAATGTTGTTTTCAGAACATATGAATAAGAGGCTGTTGCTGACCATTACCACTCGTATTGGTGGTTCTTCATTCTTAAAATATGTTTTATCCTGTATTTCCAGAGCTTTGGAACCAGTTTATAATTATCTTATTTTTCCTAAACTTTTATATTCCTCTTTATTTTTGTGATCACTTGTGATCAAATGCCTTGTGTCAGAAACAGTTTGTCTCATGGCGCTTATTTCCGTACGACAAGTGTCTGAACAACCTGCTTTGGGGTTGCAACCACTGGATTTTCAATTCAAGTGCAGCAAATTTGGACCATTTCTTGTATGTTATATGAAAATCATTTTTCAGAAATGTATTTCTCTAATTCTGCTGACAGAGAATTTCTGTCCTCGTGTTCCTCCGAAGTTGATCACAGCATTACCCGTCAATATTTTAAGGCCTGTTGCAGTTAAAATGGATTGGATCATGGCAGTTGTCATTCTAGACAATTTCTTGCTTTTGCAAGGTAATTCTTAAGTGCATCCATCTCCAAATGATATATTGTGAATGCCTACTGGAATGTATATCTCAATCATTTTATGTTGGTTGGTTGGTTTGGCGACTTACAAGCGGAGTTAAAGATTGTTCTGCTGTATCTGTGGCTACTTTTGAGAGAAACTAGCTTTAAGGGAACTACTTGGAAGAAACTCAGCATTCTCCTTACCTCCACTGTTTGGATATACCTGCCAAGGCAAATGCCATCTTTGCCAAATCTATTCTCTAAACTGATCTTTAAATCAATCACAGAAT